CCCATCTCTTGGGGGGTGCAATTAGTGCCAGCATCGTCCGTTAAGAGTTTGGGTGTAATCTTTGATACCTCCCTCTCTATGGAGGTGCAGATTACAGCTATAACAAAGGCGGCATTTTTTCATCTCCGCCAAGCTAAGCAGTTGGCTCCTTGTCTCTCTCGCCCTGACCTAGCCACTGTGATCCACGCGACGATCACCTCCAGACTGGATTATTGTAACTCGCTCTACGTTGGGCTGCCCTTGAGACTGACCCAGAAACTCCAGCGGGTGCAGAATGCCGCGGCGAGACTCCTTATGGGGTCTTCGCTGCGTGATCACATTCATCCGGTACTATACCAACTGCACTGGCTCCCGGTGGAGTACAGGATCAGGTTTAAGGTGCTGGTTTTAACCTTTAAAGCCCTATACGGCCTAGGACCCTCATACCTATGGGACCGCCTCTCCTGGTATGTCCCACAGAGGAACTTACGGTCTGCAAATAAAAACATCCTGAAGATCCCAGGCCACAGAGAGGTTAGGCTGGGCCTCAACTAGAGCCAGGGCTTTCTCGGCCGCAGCTCCAATCTGGTGGAACGCTCTGTCACAAGAGACTAGGGCCCTGCGGGACCTGACATCTTTCCGCAGGGCCTGCAAGACAGAGCTGTTCCACCAGGCCTTTGGTCAGGGCGCAGCCTGACCCCTCCTCTGGCAATCTGCACAGAATTTTGCTTAATGGTTGCCACCAATTTGATTTTAATTAATTTTTATAATGAAATGTTTTTAGAACGTTGGATTATTTTGATTGTTGTTAGCCGCCCTGAGCCCAGCTTCGGCTGGGGAGGGCGGGATATAAATAAAATTTATTATTATTATTATTATTATTATTATTATTATTATTATTAAATGGTAATGAACATCCCTATCCAGTATCATTAGCTCCACACAGCAAAGCATGGCTGGAGGAGTTGGATTGGTGCCAATGAAATGTAATCAGAAATTCTTTGAAACTTAGAACTCTTAGGATATCCATTAGTCTCTGTTATCATGACACTTAAGAACTTGTAGAGTGACCTTTACTTTGCTTCAAAGCCAAAGCCCCACAACAGAGCAGATGGAAACTGTAGCCTTACTTAAATCAAACTGAAAACTGAGTCTCTACTAGCATAATCCTGGTCATGAGCGCCCCTAAATTCAGTAGGGTTTACTCCATAGTAAGGACACGTAAGATTGCAGAATACATTTATTAGCTGGAACCAGAGGAAAACACGCTTATATGAGTGAATCTCCTATGCAATTGGCAATCTGAATATAATGCTGTGCGGGGAGTAATCAATTATGTATCATTTGTGGACTAAAAACAACAACATGCTAATCGTATTTGCTGAATTGATTTTCGTTCTGGATATGGGATGAACAAGTGAACTTGAGCTATTTCCGCTTCCACTTCTTGGACATCCCTAGCCATTTAATATCTGTTCTGATGTGGACATTTCCTAGGCAGGGAACTTCCCCTGCTGTGTTGTCTTAGATAGTGAGCACCCTTTCAAAGGACAAAGGAATTGACGAGCTGCATTTATACTTATGAAAATAATTAGCTTCAAGGCCTTAGATTTTACATGTCAAAAAGGAGAGAGATTCTATTCTTCATATATGAAACTGGTTTAATCTCCTGGCAAGTGGAAATGATGTGAGGCCAAAATTATGCATTTGATCACTGTGAAGTATTTATAGATATTATTAAGATGTACTGTACTTGAGACAAAATGAAAACAACACAGTAAAGTCCAGAAATCACAGCATTATTTATTGAGGATGACATGTTTTTCCAGCAGACATGGTTTAGGTGTGGACATAACATATTTTTATTTCTGCAATATATACTAGCATTTTATTAATTTTTAAATGGCAATGGGCAAAACCAGCCTTTTTTATATACCTCCTCCCATAATTTTTGTAATAAAACGAACACTTATTGAAAATATCTTTCCTTTTAAAATATTTGATGTTTGCACAGCTGTTATTTTTTCCCTTTTAAACTTCATTTTAAATGCAGGTGCCAACATCAAAAAATCCAAATAGAAATAAGGAGTTTATGCCAAAGAATAACATGCATAGAAAGCATGAAGTATTATAAATAAAAAGGATTCCAAAAATGTCAGCATTTCTAATGCAGTTTGCTTCAAATATTATACAGGTTCTTCACAATGACACAAGTTTCAAAATAAAACTTTTATTGGTCAAATTGTTGCTATTTTGGTGGCTCAGAGAAGTATATATACACGTATATATTTCCCCATCCATTCTGGGTGGCTTACAGACACAAACCATTATGTCTTTGCTCCAATAGCGACCCATTTCTGTAAACTGTTAAAATAGCTTTAAGATAGGAGGAGTTTGAAAGTGGCTTGTTAGGTTGTGAGTTAGAACTAGGAAAGTGATTCCTTCCCCACAACAGATCCTGAGCTTCTGAGTCCAATCATAACCAACTAAATAACAGAGAAGTAAATAACAGCATTGCTGCATACAGTTACCTTGATCCAGAGACAGCAAGCTACACAGACAGACTGCTGTGCAGGACAGAGAAGGGAAACTGCAGTCATCTTTACAAAACATCACAGTACACTATTTGGAACTCTATAGGATTCTAAGTAGCTGCAAGGCACCCAGCCTAGTTTGGGCCAAGTATTAGTAGGCATTTGTTTGAACCAGAGTTCTGTGTTCATTTTGCTTCACAGATGTTGACTAGCTGTAAGTAGGGATGGAGGAGAAATGCCGTTCAATTCACAATTTCAGCTCGATTTGTTGAATTCGCACTTTCTAGGACAATATGAGAACCGAAACACAGGCATCCTTTGAAAGTCACACTTACCTGAATTTTGTGATGTAGTTTTCCAGCTGAGCAGTGCTTACAAAAATGCATGCATTAGGAGAAAGTGTGCATAAAATGGATCTATTCATGAGAATTACATACAATATTGCATTATATTAGGGGGCATCGTTTGGAAAAATGTGTATGCTAATCAAAACTGAGTACAGCAATGTGTTTATTAGGAGAAATTTGCAGTAAAATGCTGTTGGATTTTGATGATGCTTAAAAATAACAACCTCAGATTGCTGCAGAAATGTGAAGAACTGCATTTAAGAGTGGAAAAAGAAGACACTGAAATTGAGTGAGGCTTGGAGGCTGGTGACAAGAAAGAGGCCTTTTTGGTTGTGGCTCTCCAGTTATGGAATGCTGCTCCCAGTGAGGCCTGACTGCGGCTGATCTTATTTTTTCATTGCCAGATTAAAACCTATCTCTATTCCCAGACACTTGGTGTTGTGGGACAGGCCAATTACATTAGCTTTTGGCTGGTTATTGTGAATTGGCATTATGCAAAATATGCTTTTATCCTGGTTTTATTACAGTGGTGTCTTTTAAGTATTTATGATGTTGTTTTATTTTGTTTAAATTGTTGTTATGATTTTGCTTTAATTTGTTTTGTATCTTTTTTAAACAAATTGTAAGTCACTGTGGGACAAATTTTGTGTGAGGCATTTTCTAAATTAAATAATAAGTGAGATGCATTTTATTAATCCCAGTAGAATTTATTTCTAAATAAATGGGCCAAGAATAGAAAAAGTACACAACTGAAGAGAAGTGCAGTGCCCATTGGGTATAGTGTTAATTTGATCCAGCCTCTCTCTCTCTCTCTCTCTCTGGTGTGTGTGGTTGTGTGTGTATTCCCATGGGCTGTGTGGTTTCCCACTAGGAATGCACAAAATTCTTTAACCTCCATTTGGTATCACATTCATGTATATGTGTATCCTGTAACAGGATAAGCATCAGAGATTAATCATTGGTGAACATTTTAGTACAGTATTGAGAGAGACATTTAACTCCTAAAATATGGAAAGTGGTCATTACAGTTAAATGTGTCAGATGTGACTCAAAGGTCTCCTTTCCTTTCCTTATTCTTTTAATTTCATTTTAACTACATTTGCAAGTGGTCAGGATTGAAGATATACACTTTGGGGATACTGAGCTCCTTAATGCTATTTTGGGAGATCCAGGAATAGCTGCACTGCATTTCATATGGATGCATAATCCAAGTTATATAGCTTTGAATAAGAATGTGGTCTTGGGGTGGGGGGAAGATAGATGAAAGGGTCTAATAATAACCTTTTACAGGTTGTTGCCTAAAGTTCCTACTGTAGGAGAATTGACTTTAGTATCATTTCCTCTCTTAAGATGTGAGGGTTAGAATATAAATAAAGCAATAGATTTATCTAACTTGTAGTGTGGAAATTTGACTTCTACGCACACATCCACATTCTGAACAGGGATTTACGGAGCATCTGCTACACAGATGTAGTCATTCAGTGAATCTCTAGGAGCACGGCAAGGTTGCGTAGCTGTATTCATTCACGTACATAAATGAGAATACTACTGAGTAGCAATTCTTGTATCACCTACCTGAAGAGTGTACTAATGATTTTTGAAGGAGCAAGGATTATCACTGTTCACAGATATTGTAAAATGCTTTACTCTATCCTTTTCAGATGATTCAGTATTTAGTTCACTGTTTATGTAGATAGCCCCAAGAGGTTCAGTATGTCCTAAGACAATGTCTAGATACAGACATAGTCTAGATGAGGGCAAATAAACAGTGAGTGAATCCATCAAGATGGAGACCCCAGGGATGGATGGTGCCCATGTCTGAAGATTGGGTTGTGTACCAACTCTGGATGAGGTTGTGCTCCATCTGAAGGAGCAGGTACATGGTTTGGGGGTGCTCCTAGATGCATGGCTGTCACTAGAGGCCCAGGTGACTTCAGTGACGAAGAGAGCATTTCCTAATAAGGCAATTTATCAACTTGCATTTTTGGGCCATCTGAATCTCACTCCCACCCCTCCATCTAGTTAGCGTGAGGAAATAGGCTTCTGTGTATGTGCATCCTCTTCTGAATGAATGACAAGCATGGCACAGATCAGGTAGCTAGTACCTTTACCATCAACAGCAGAAGATTATGGATCACGACTCATGGTTCAGTTGTAGCGCATGAGACTCTTGATCTCAGGGTCATGGGTTTGAGCCTCACATTGGGCAAGAGATGCCTGTAGTGCAGGGGATTGAACTAGGGATCCCTTCCAACTGTACAATTCTATGATTCTAAAAATAGAGGAACTACTATTCCACAACCTAAAAAGTGACAGGTGCCTCATCACCTTTCTACCAGAAGTCCCACCCCTTTTCTTAGTAGTCCCACCTTTTGATATAAATAATATATCACTTGATAGAGGTAGCTGAAGCCCATGCCCATCCCTCTTAAAACAAGGGACTAGTATTGCTCATTAGTACAGTGGTACCTCAGATCACATACGCTTCAGGTTACATACGCTTCAGGTTACAGACTCTGCTAACCCAGAAATAGTACCTCGGGTTAAGAACTTAGCTTCAGGATGAGAACAGAAATCGTGCAGTGGCGGTGCAGCAGCAGGAGGCCCCATTAGCTAAAGTGGTGCTTCAGGTTAAGAACAGTTTCAGGTTAAGAACGGACCTCCGGAACAAATTAAGTACGTAACCAGAGGTACCACTGTACTTGCATGTCTCTTTGCAGGCCCAGGTGTGCTTTAAAGGATGGGAACAAAACTGTACAGTATTACTTTTGTTCTCCAAGCTGAATTGTCAGAAACTTTTCATGCTAATAATAGCTGAATTTGTATATGAATGCTTTCAGTTATGTTAACCCCCACTGTAGTCTGAAATACTATCTGCCAGATTTGCCATGTCACCTGCTATTTGTGAGAGTTAGACCTAGGTCATTTCCTTTATGTGGAACAGATCTTTGTATTCCTGGCAGGCAGGAACAAGGATCCACTTAGTGATGCATACATTATGGCGGTCTTTTCTCTAGTTTTTTTTATTTAATTTCTGAGTAAACATGCATAGGATTGTGCTGATAGTTTGCCCCTTCAAGCTCTTAACATGGTTGAAAAGAACTGATTGCTAATAGTAGGACGGCTTATTTGAGGAAGACTGGAATTTAGGCCTACAAATTTCTCTGTGGCTGTTAGAAAACTGTTAGAAAACTGTTAGAAAACTTTGAGTCTAATGTGATTCCAACTTAACTGAAGGCTCAGATCTTTGCTTGCATATTCTGGCTGCAGGTCTCACAGATCTTTTTAAAAAATTAAAATTAGCCAATTAAAATAAACTGTTTCTTTTGAGTCTAAGAAAATGTCCCAGCACTAGTTCCCGGATCATCATTATCTTTTTTATTTTTTCTAGAAGCAAAATATGACCATACAGAGTATCTGTAAAAAACAAAAACCACCCAGTTTTGTTTTGATAGCACCTCTGTTTAAGGAAGGTCTTGTCGGAAATCAAGGAAAGATTTTTCATCTCCTTCTCCACCATGCAGACCCCCATGACCTCTGAAAAGCTACACTGGGGTAGTGGTTGGGATGTGAACTACGTGGGATTAGGCATGGTGATGGGTTGGTGGAAGGAGGGTGGGAACACTTCTTCCACGAGCTTGCTTAATGTATTCAAGGATTCAAGCCCAATTTTTGAGTAATTATGCCTTCCTCTTAGGATCCTAGTCACCCAGACCTGGAGAGAAGACCTCAAGAAGATTGCCTCCTACAGTTCTCTGTCTCCGCTGAAGACACAGAGAAACTGGGCCCAGTCCAAACCAGTCCTAAGAGCCCCATCTCAGAGATGCCTTCCCTGGCCCCCCAATAACTATATCCTGAGCCATTCCTTGATCCCTGATTTTCTCCATTGCTGTCTGAGTCTCAGGAACAAAAGCCCAAGTGGACCGGATTTCACAGGATGAATGTGCTATAAACAGGGTCTATGTTGGGAGGACAGGTCTTTTCAGGAGGAAGAGATGAGACATATGTAAGCAATAACCCAACTGGAGGTAGTATACCCAACTGACAACCAGGCAGCAACACAGCTGATAACCAGGCAGAGGCTGTGACTATAGAAGTCTCCCAGTCTCCTCTGATCTTTGCAGGACCAACAGTTCCCTTCCCTGATTGATGTGAAAGCTCTGACTAAATTGTTGACTCTGGCTTCTAGTCTCCATATTCCATCTCACATTGTCCAGGCAGGCCCATTGACCCTCCAGAGGAGGTTTAGTTGTATTGGGAAGGAAGGGATGATATGTTTTCCTTTGGTGAACTTCCTTAACTCACCTTAGGATGCAAACCAGTGTGCTGTTCAGAGGTACCACTGTTGCTCCACCTGAAAATGGTTTCAGTTGTTCCCTTTGTAGCGATTTCAAACCTGTTTGCAGAAGTTTCCAGTAACTCCCGCTTTCCCTTTTATGCAGGCTCTGAAGATCTCTGTCAACTTGGGGAAAGAGATTTTCAGCAGCTTGCAGCACCAGCTGTCACTTCCAATAGCTTCTCTATTGATTTTCTTTCAGTGTTCACTGGTTAACATAGCAACCACTGTTACTCATCCAGCTGCCTCCTCTCACAGGAGTGGGCATGCTCAATTGTGTCTGAAGCCAGGGTTGATGTCATAGTACTGGCAAAACATGAGGTTTCTCAGAATATTTTCCTCCTAGTGGGCACCTTCTGCCCCAACCTTTTTTTCTTTTGGTTTTTGGTTGTATATGATGAGAGAACAGAAAGCGTAGATAGGTAGACCATGAAATAAACACTCATTTTTAGGCTCACATGGCTTATTGTGTTTGAGACAGATACTATTTCATGTGAAGTACCCTTGTTTAGGTTTGCATAATATGCCAATTTATGACAAATTAGTCCATTTACAGCCACAAATTATGTATTTTATGACTGCAAAGTTAAGAAAGTCAATAATAATCTGGCCCAGGGAATTTCTGGCATTCTATCAAGAGTGCATATAATATATCTGAGCTCCTGGGGGTTTGTGTAATGGCAAAGTCTGAGTCAGATGAGTACCAGTTTCAGTGGGACTCTGGGTGCAGACCATCAGTTGTGTTGTTTCATGTGTTTCATTCATTCTAGAAGGACTTATCTGAGGCTCTCTAATGTGTGGGGGGAGATGTCTAATCCTTTCCGTACACACCATTTTTTCAGCCACCCACTCCTTATACAAAGGTGGCTATTAACCCTCTTGATGGAAAGACAGGCATGGTAAATGGACCTGCCCATTCACCATAGCCGGGCTTTAGCAGTTTTGCAGAGCAGAGGTTTCAGTCAGGAAAATAATGTGGGAAGAAAAGGTAAAACAGCCCTCTTCTATTGCGACAGCATCATTGTTTTGGTCCCATTTGATCCCTACGTATGTATGCTTTTCAGAGTTTTCCTCTTCATTTTGAATAGGTTGAGAGGTCTAGCCATTATCTCCCAGGTTCTTTGTAGTTTGGCCATGTGATTCTAATATTTGATCCTATTGGTTGTTGTCATAGCAGCTTACAGGAGCAGGCTATTAGAGCAATCATATAAACATATTATTAAACACTACCCCAGTCTCCGAGTGGTGAGATATTCCAGGGGCTGCAGGTGCTCACCCAGGGTTTGGTTTCTCAGAATGAGGGACAGTGGAGACTGTGGTGTCTTTATGGTATGTGGTTTATTTACACATATAAAACCTGAGTCTACAGTGGAGGGGCTCACAGCATTAACAACCAAAGGAGGTCTTGCTTCTCCCACAGCCACAGTCTTGGATTCAAGCAAAGATCAGGCATGGCTCTGTCTCTCTGGCTTCTCAGCCTGCTTCCTCCTGCTTCTACTTATAGCTCAAACACCTCAACTCTTGTCTTTGTTCTTTCGAACTAACTAACTGTCAGTTGAGGGAGTGGGGCTCCCACCCACTTGGCTTCTACCATAGAACCATTTCCTTTGTTAACTTACAGCCTGTACTTAGGGGTCATTACTAAGAAACTTTTCTAGCTATGCCAGCAATTGAACCTTTGTTGGATCCAGGAATTAGAAGGGACTCTGGCATATAACTTACCCCACCGAAACTATTAAAACTCATCAAATACATGTTTTCCAGGTGACCTAGGCAAAGTTTCAGGAAGCTCAGCAACTTTTATTAGGCTAAGACAGGTTTGTAGGGACAAGGTTATTTATAGTAATAAAGGTAGGAATGAATTTCTTATGAACTGAGTTGATTTTTTAAAAAAAAAGATATTTAGAAAATTAATTATATGTACCTAATAATAGTGTGCATTATTCATCTGTGGCAATATTTGCACATAGTGTGATGACAAAAATAAGCAATTGTTCATTATTAGGATTTTCTTTGTCACATCGTCACATTTTTTCCAGTGGCTATAAAAATGTTCCACACAACCAAGAAAGTGAAATAAAAACCACACAGAAGTGTGCCTAGCTCCTCTTTCAACAGCTTTTTGGCATCATCTGTCAAGTCTGGCATTTTCCAATTCATAAACTCTAATATTTTAATGTATGACATTTAAAGAGCTAAAAATAATCACTCTGCAAGAAAAGAACAATGGATAATGTTGTTTAAATCCAGAAAACATTTTGCAGTTAAAAAATAAATTTGGCTAATTTGTAAAGCAATCAATCATTAGAAAAGCAACATTTTTTGTGTGAAATTTTATATACCCAAAGAAGTCACACCAGTGGTCATATAAGCGGGAGTTTTGCCTGCACAGTGAATGATTGTCTACATCTTTAAAACTGAGTTTCCTTTATTCTTTGGGATTAGGTTTGGGTCTCTTAAGTAAAAGAGAGTTCTCCAAAGATATAAGACTTTGTCACAATAAAGTGCTTTGTTTATTATTTTATTTAGAATGTTTACTAACAGGATAATTAGAAAAATCTCAAAGTGGTATATAGGAAATAAAAAAAATACAATACATGATACAGTAAAATAGGTCCAACAGGATACTCAAGTGTCAGTGGCAAACATAGCCAAAATGTAAACAACCAAAAAAGAAAAGGTTTAAGCAGGCTGAAAACACTGAAAATACAAAAATGCTTACCAAATTTAGGGAGGCAGAATAGTCCATAGAATAGGAGCCATGGCAGTAAAAGCTGTGCTCCAACTAGCCACCAAATGAATCTGTGGAACACATGGCACCACCAGGAAGGTCTCATCTGACAACCCCAGTAATTGAATCCATCTATGGGGAGAAG